ACGACTGAAACTGGGGCATAGAGCCCTTAAACCTATATCTTAGTCTTCTTAAAAACTTATTCTGAATACTTTCTACCTGGTCTATATGCTTGGCATAATGAGGGTTCCATGCTGTCGAAGCATATTCTAAATGACTTCGGACCAGGGAGTTATACAATATAATATATGTATTGACATTCTTGAAGTCTTTGCACTGTCGAAAAACAAAACCCAGCATTTTATAAGCCTTGGCTGCAGCCTGATCAATATGCGAAGCAAAGTTCAGTTCACTATCGAGGCATACGCCCAGGTCTCTCACCTCGGTCACTCTGTCTATTGTGGTATTATTAAATTTATAATCATAACTAATGGATCTTTTCTTGCGAGAAAAGTTAATTGAGTGACATTTACCAATATTTAACTTTAGAAAATTTATAGAGCAATATTCATAAAATTTATTTAAGTCTTCTTGAAATAGGTTCTCCTTGTGAAAGAGTTTTAATTAAAGGTAAGGATTAAAGAAGACGGGCGCAGTGGCAATGCGCCTCACATTTTTGTAATTTAAAGGTCTAAATGGCACTGCGACTGATATGGACAAGCGTGTCGCTTCCCACCAGACCTTTGTTCGTCCCTTCACTTGGTATCATAAAAGAAACTCACTACAAGACGTATAAAATACTGATGTTCAATGATTATACATTTTATCGATAAATTATGAATTATAGGTTATAAATAGATTATTATTATAGATTATTTTATCCAAATCGTTTTATTCCTTCTTTTAATTGCTTATTACGAAGGTGTTATGAATATTATACAATATTACTCATTTATTAAAAATGTCTTTGAAATAACCATATCTTTTTTTTTTTATAAAAAAAAATAAGTACGCAATTTACCTCCATCTTGATGGAAAGTGACGATGAGGTCGGTGATGGAACATGCAAACCTAAATAAAGCCTGTTCACTTTGAAAAGGCCCAAGTTATGGCGTTCAGGGAATTCCACTCCATAAGCGTTCGCCGTATGCTTCCATGTGGAAGCGAAACACCTCACGTAAGCAAAATGTAAATTCACTACCGAAACACAACAGTCTTTTTTGTTTTTCTTTATTCACATTTCTGTACATGTTTCTACTTTTTCGCTCATTTTCTTTTTGGGCTCTGAAGCTAAGCCAAGTTTTAGCTCACATAGCTGCAAGCAACAAACTATGCGAACTAAGCTAACTGAGCTCACTTTAGCTCACGTAGCTACATGCAAAGCTAAGCTAAGAAAATACGGAGCCGTAGTGAAATACTGCCACTCGACTCTAGTGTTTCCCCTCACGGAGGTGAAGGGCGATAGCGTTTATTTAACTTAGCGGATTGTTAAGATGAAACTTTTCTTGTATATGCAGTAAACCGAAAAAACTTATAAAGCTTAAATATATATATATATATGTACATCTTTACACCGAATTAAAAACCCGGTTTTATGTAAGTCCAATTATATACATATATATGTATATATAATTGGACTGAATATATATACTAAACTAAATATTAGGGGTTAAAGTATGAAATTGCCGTTTTATTGCAATAGGTTCTTTGAATTTTCATAGAATCTTCATGGTTTGAGGTTTTCGAATGAAACTTTTTTCAAATGGTTTCTGTGATTTTTTTTTTAATTTGAAACATTTGAATATCGACTTTCAATTGTTTTTGTTATTCAATTTAGACAAGAAAGATGGATACTGCGAAAATTCGAGTGATTTTTGAATACGAGTTCCGACGCGGAACTAACGCGGCATAAACAGCCCGCAATATCAATGCTGCGTTTGGAGAGGGGTCTACTAATGAACGCACCGTGCGATTTTGGTTTAAACGCTTTCGTGATGGAAATTTCGACTTAAAGAACGAGGCACGAGGAAGACCGCCCACACAGGTGAATAACGATGAATTAAGAGAGATAGTGGAAGCCGATCCTAGTCAAACTACCCAGGAATTAGCGGCATGGTTTAACGTTACCTTATCCACAATATTGACTCACTTGCGTCAAATCAATAAAATAAAAAAATACGAAAAATGGGTGCCTCATGATTTGACTGATCTGCAGAAAGAAACGCGTGTTGAAACTTGTGTTGCCTTGTTGAACCGGTACAGAAATGAAGGAATATTGGATCGAATTTTAACATGTGATGAAAAGTGGATTCTTTATGATAACCGGAAAAGAAAAATGCAATGGCTGACCGCAGGTTAAATGCCACAACAGTGTCCTAAAGCAAAACTTACCAATAAAAAGGTAATGGTAACTGTTTGGTGGTCTCAGCATGGTGTTATTCACTATAGTTTTCTCCGATCTGGTCAAGCAATAACGGCAGATGTCTATTGTGCCGAACTCCGAACCATGTTGACAAAACTAGCAGTAAAACAGCCCCGACTCATGGATCGATCTTCACCATTATTGCTCCACGACAACGCGAGACCTCACACAGCACGAGAAACCATTTTGACCCTTCAGGAACTGCAGTTAGAAACCATTCGTCATCCTCCGTATTCACCAGACCTTGCTCCAACGGACTACCATTTTTTTCGTGATTTGGACAATTATCTACGTGACAAGAAGTTTTCTTCCCAGGAGGCAGTACAAAATGCTTTCACACAGTTTGTGCAGTCTAGATCGTCGGAGTTCTATCGCAAAGGCATTAATAACCTTCCCATTAGATGGCAGCAATGTCTATATAATAATGTCAACTATTTTGATTAAATAAATTTGTTAAAAATTTAAAAAATAAACAATTTAGATTTTCAGTACAAATCGGCAATTTCATACTTTAACCCCTATTATTTTAGGGTCAAAATCGTAATAGCATAAATATTGAAAGTATTAGGTAAATAATGCAATGATTCGATCGTTACATCCTATCAATTAACAACTAATACTACTATTTTTGACTATAAAGGAGAAGTAGAAAAGAGTAGTCAAATTAAAACTAATATATATATATATATATATATATATATATATATACATATTATTCGCTATATTTTAAATACATTTAACAAACGTACAATGATCAAAGTGATTACGACCAATACGACTAATTTGGTTTTAACTGATGGAAATGCCAAAAATATGAAGTACACAGTACAGTATAACGATATATACTTTGCGCGGCGTTAAATAAATATACATTGAATTAAGTACTTTATTAACTAAATTGTTAACATTAAAAAGCGTCAAAATCGAAATAGCAAGAACAAGTAGTTTAATTGAAGTTGGAGTACTATTTTCTGATTGAAGCATGGGTTATTAAAAAAGATTCAATGTAAATATAACGAAATAACTAATTTATAAAATCTAAAATATAAAAACAAAGTCAAATTATTATACTCTATATAGCTCGATTACCACTGATCTAACTAGATACTGACATAATTGTTCTCCCAGAAGGAGTGCCGGTGGGTAAAAATAATGTACTAGACTCGTAGAAAAATTCGAAATCTTCAAAATGTGGACTGCATCAGGTAAAAGCCTACGCGCGCGGCTAAAGTATAAGACCTACCGGAAATATGTTCTTACTAAAAATGGCCGCCACGCTGGTCAGTTTCTACCGGAAGTGAAAAAAATTCGAAATTCGTAAAAACAAGATGGCCGCCATACAAATTGCAGAGCGTTATATCTCGAAAACTACAAGAGGTAGGTGGGGGGTGCTCGACCAAATGTCATAGGGCGGCGGGGGTCAACTGGCGGTGACAAATTTTTTTCAAGATGGCCGACTCAAAATGGCGGCCCGAAAAAAAGGTGGTCCAATCCGGCCGAAATTTGGCATGCGGACGTGTATGGGGACCTAGGTTACAAATCTGGGGTTAGAATTTTGATTCCGCCATTTTCCAAGATGGCCGCCATACATGTAAATTGTCTGCTCTTTGGCGTCATTTTTCTCCCAGAATACAGGCGGGTAGGTAGAAATGATGTAGAGTAATTATAGTCGGACGGACTTAGTGAATATGAAAAAGTATCGAAACCTTCAAAATATGCTCCGCATCAGGTAAGACCACAGCTGCCTGGCCAATGTATACGTCTTGGCTCAAAGTCTCCAAACAAATGTTCATCCACAACCTGGGCAGTTTCTACCGGAAGTGAAAAAAATTTAAAATTCGAAAAACAAAATGGCCGCCATACTAATTTCGATTTTCCAAAATGGCAAATCCAAGATGGCCGCCATAAAAATTGACTTTACTGAATCTTCGCCACTATTAATATACGAGTAGTTTATTTTGAAGTATAAAAGGTTACGTCTTGACGCGATTATACCAACTACCTGACTCCCACCCACCCAAATAAACCTAACGAAAAACATCACCATTGAAACCAAAGTAATTACCAACCGACTGACGAACTCTTTCCTACATTTAAAGTCACAAGCCTCATACGTAGCCCTCGCGGGCTACGAGAAATTGCTTTTTATTCAATTTGAAGGCGTATCTTTAAATTTTATTTCGTAGAAATGTGCTTAATAAATTATAATTTTGCTCAATACGAGCAATTATTTAAGGACTACTAGCAATCATATATTTTTTTGTGATTGTTCGACTATTATTATTATCAGGAATTTAATTTAAAAAGAGCTTAATTTATCAATTTGGCACCTGTTCCAGCCTTAAGGCAGGTACGTATACTAAATTATTGAATAATTTTATTAAAGCACGTTTTGCTTTTATATATATTTTATATATATAATATAACTAATATAAACGGAACAATTAAATACATAATATCATACTAAAAAATATCGTTTATTTAAAAGTACACGTTTACAATAGATCAACTAAATCTTTGAGGATCAAATAATACTATCTCTTTTAATTTAAAAAAAAAATTTAATAAAAATCCGTTTAATGAACCCGGATATCAAAGCTTTTTAGCCTGTAGGGTGCGCTCCACTAATGTCATACAATGTACGCATAGAATCTCATGTTATACACAGAATATGGTTGTCTTGTTTGAGTAATTAATTAAAATTTTTGTGTCATACCTCAGACAGTTCATCGGGTCGAAGATTGGACGACAACATTATAACAGAACAAGATGCCCGTAAACGTTTCGAGGGGTCTTTACTGAAGTTTGAAGCCAAAAAAGGCGACCTTCCTTATTCCACTTTGACCCCTTACGTGGACAAAGAAGATGAAGAACAAATTAAGGTACATTCATGGTTGACCACCAGTTCGGTTCTTTGTTAACCATATAATTAATATGCCTTAACGAATTTTCCTATCAGATAATAAACAATCTGAAGTCGAGATCGAGGGAACAGCTGAAAGTGATTCAAAATCTTATTAATAGAGGACAAATGCAGAATATGACTGCAAATACTGAGAACATTCCCACACTGGTAATGAGGAAAATTACTTACACAAAAAAGTTAATTTATAAGTTATATTAGATGTAGCCTTTAAATGTCCAGAGTTTGGCTATGCTACTCAATAATGAATTGAAGGTATAACGAGCCTGCGGATCATGGTGCCATAATTATAGCCATATAAGCACCCGGAGCTCGACCAGCCTGCAGTAACGGATGGTATGTTCAATAAATAGAGGAAGTGTCGAATTAACAATTGAAATATTATACTGTGTTCTGGAACACTTCCCAGAACACCCATACCGGAACCAGTTTGCATAAATTCGTTTCCTTCCCAATTTGGTCCTACCGAGAATCGACCTCAGTACTATTTCATCCAGCGCCCAAGGTACTTTTTTATAATGTCAAATAATGGGACGAACAAGTCGTGCGCCTGATGGTAAGATACACGCCTGACCATAACAATTGCAGTGCCACTCAGAGCTTTGAATCGCAAAGGTCTGAGGCGCACTGCCACTACGCCCGTCACCCTGAGACATAAGTTGACAAGTCCCATGTGCCTGTAATTTCACCAAAAGGTACTGTTAGGCCACCGAGATCGTCGAAATAAAGATGAGAAAAAATGTATTGTGTTTTTTGTTGTTACGCGTGGTATTTGAATGCCAGGTGCAAGATATGTCAAATACGTATACATAAAGTACAATCTGCTAACAGTATGACAGTATGAGAACCTCTAACATTGTAATTTTCAGAACATTGTCTCCCAACAATATGACCAACAACCTAATAGAAGACTGATGAAGTATAATGAAATACAGCAATTTACTGTACCCCTCTTACCCTTTCATAATCTAGCAACTAAAGGCGAGTCCCTGAGAGAGTACGTCCCCGATCAAGGAGTCGGTGATCCCATTAAATGGTACTAAAATACTTACTACCTCTTCTTATTGTGTATGAGGTTGCTAATTTTCTTCGTATCGAAGGGCTTAACATTTATCCAACCCATTACCCAGGCATGCGAACCTTATACGTAATCAATAATTTTATTGCTCTCCATAAGGGAAATAGACGTTACAATCATCTTAAGTACATATGTCGCATATATGTATGTCGTTCCTTGTGCATATGGGTCTATGCTCGCCATCCCGATGTTCGCCACCGCACGACTATCGGTACAATCAGTATCGAAACGCTCTCTAATCAACCAATAACATTTTTAAATTACTAAATATAAATGGTATGGAATTTTCACAATAAAATTATTT